CGTGTCCGTGGTTCCCATTTGGTGCCCGGTTTCACGGAGAAAGAGATGACGGTCGGGTACAGAGCGAGTTAGCTTTTTTCACACATCATCGCTAACATTCATCCGTGAATGTACTCTAGGTAGTAGTATTGGTGTTTACGGGACCGTCAGTCAGCACAGTCAAACGAGAAGTCAATACCAACTCGACACGCAATCCCCAATCATCTACAACATAACCGTAGACAGAACTGTAGACTGGGGAGACCACAACCAACTCTACGCTGTCCCTTTTTACGAATCACCCGAACTAGAGTATGGAGAACACCAGCTCGACGTAACCGTCGACCGCCAATGGACACCACAATGGAAACGTTTCATCTTTGACTTTTTGACCATCCGCGTCAAAAACGATACGACCGATTCAAATCACTTTATGGTCGACGAAAGCGATCCGATAGTGCGCTACACCGGCAACTGGGAAAAGGAAGCTTCGGCAAAGTATAACTACAAGGGAACCACCCACAAGGCTAGCTCTAGTGGATGTGTATCGATACTGCCGTTCTCTGGAAACGCCATCGAAGTCTATGGCGCCTTTCGGAGTTCGAGTAACGACTCGGCCTCCATCATATCCTTCCAAATCGACGACGGGCCCAAATACAATTTCGACTCTTTCAACACTCAGGGCAAGATACATCCCGCTGTTCGACTATTTTCGAGGGCCGGTATAACAGAAGGTCAACACACCCTTCGTATGGAGTCACTCTCGAGAACAGAAGTGTGGCTCGACTATTTCATGTACAAATCTTCACCTCCCGATAATGGCTTCTCCAACACATCTCCTTCTTCTACTTCTACCTCTCCGTCACAAAAGTCGAATACGGCCGCCATCGCAGGTGGAGTGGTCGGTGGTATCGCCGGGTTGGCGTTGCTCATCCTTCTACTCCTCCTCTATCGCCGAAAACGTCGAGATCCAGCCATAAAAGAAGGAAAAAACGACAAAACTGGTGCGTCTACAGGTTACGAAGCAGCTTCCAAACCACCCTACGTGATCGAACCTTTCACCTCTCCCGACACACGATCCACCCCCATGATTCTCTCGGACAGCCAACACGAA